AATGTGAAAATGCCTTACAGCTGGATCTCCTGGAGGCATTTCCTCAGCTAAGGCTCCTTCCTCTGATGACTCTAGCTTGTGTCTAGTTGACACACAAAACCACCCAGTACAGCCCTGAATCAAGTTTGGCTCTAGCATTTCAGGAACTATCTCTCCTTGGGCAAGGGGCTTGCAGATTAGACATTTTTGTTTCATAGATCTCTTAGGCATAGTAATCAAAACTTAAAATGTAATTTTGTATCTCACAACATGAGGGAGAAAAGCCTATGAAGAGATACCCCTTCAATAAATGTATACTCTCCCAGCCACCCCACTAAAGTTTGATCTCATGGATGATTCGTACTTCAACTTCTCTCCCTACCTCAATATCAAGACTGCTACCCCCCCAACCCCACCCCCAGACAAGGTCTCTCTGTGTAGTAGTCTTGGCTGTCCTGAAACTCACTATGTAGACCAAGCTGGCCTCAACTCAGAGATTCACCTGCCTCTGCCTTACAATGCTGGGATTAAAGGCATGCACCACCATGCCCAGTTCAAGAATCTTTCTTGTGTAATTCACAGGGCTTGGACTTGAACCCTAGATTGCCAAACATTGATTGCCAAACCCTAGGTTTTGTCTCTCTCTCTCTCTCATTCCCCTTCCCCATAACATTTATTTATTTTTTTCTATGTGTTTACATGCACAAGAGTCAGGGGAGGCATGGAACTGGACCAGACCCTCTGGATAAGTGAGACAGTTGATTAGCTTAAACTGTTTAGGGAGCCCCCAAACAGTGGGACCGGGACCTGTCCTTGGTACATGAGCTGGCTTTTTGGAACCTAGGGCCTATGCTGAGACACTTTACACTGGTATAGGGAGGAGGGGGCTGGATCTACCTCAACTGAATCTACCAGGCTGGGCTGACTCCCCAGGGGAGACCTTGCCTTGGAGGAAGTGGGAATGGGGGGCAGATTGGGGGGGTGGGAGGAGGAAGGACAGGGGAATCTGTGGCTGATATGTAAAATTAAATTAATTATAAAATAAAATAAATAAAAAAGAAAGGGCCCTGAAGGGATACATGAGAAAAAAAAGAGTCAAGGGAGGGTAAGACTATGTCTATGCCACATGTATATGTGGAGGTCAGAGAACAACTTTGCGGCATCTCCCAACACAGTGTCGATCTTGAAAACCAAACTCGGATCATCATGCTTAGCAGGAAGCGCCTCACTCACTGAGCCATCTTGCCCCGCTGAGTCTAGCTTTTCTTCTTTCCTTTGAGACATGTTTCCTAGGTTGTGCACAGGCTGGTATGGAACTTCTAGGCTTATGTGATCCTCTTGTCACAACCTCCCGAAGTAACCAGGATTACAGGCTTGTGCCATCATGCCAATTTTATTTTTAAAAAAATAAATAAGAATCATGGGGCTGGAGAAATGGCTCAATTGTTTTTTTTGTTGTTTTTTTTTTGGGGGGGGGCGTTATTTTTCGAGAGAGGGTTCCTCTGTATAGCTTTGCACCTTTCCTGGCTCTCGCTCTGTAGACCAGGCTGGCCTCGAACTCACAAAGATCCGCCTGGAAATGGCTCAATTGTTAAGAGCACTGGCTGCTCTTCCAGAGGACCTGGGTTCAATTCCCAGCACCCACATGGCAGTTCACAGCTGTCTGTAACTCCAGTTCCAGGGGATCTGGCACCCTCACACAGATACGCATAAGGGCAAAACATCAATGAACATAAAATAAAAAGAAATAAATCTCAAAAAAAAAAAAAAATGTCAAGTAGGGCCAGGACGGTGGCAGTGGTGTTGAACACCTTTAATCCCAGCACTCGGGAGGCAGAGGCAAGCAGATCTCTGTGAGTTCGAGGCCAGCCTGAATGAGTTCCAGGACAGCTAAGGCCACACAGAGAAACTCTGTCTGAGAAAAAAAAGGAAAAAAAAAAAAAAAAAAAAAAAAAACCTCAATGAATGTTGGCTATTATTATTAGTGACTTAAGAATGTTGTAAGTTAGCACAAGGCCCTGGGTTTGATCCTCAGCTCAAAAAAAAAAAAAAATCAACACATAAGGGGCTGGACAGAAGTTAAGAGCTCAGAAGTTAAGAGCACTGACTACTCTTCCAAAGGTCTTGAGTTCAATTCCCAGCAACCACATGGTGGCTCACTACCATCTGTAATGAGATCTGGTGCCCTCTTCTGGCCTGTAGGGATGCATGTAGGCAGAACACTGTATACACAATAAATAAATCTTTAAAAAAAAAAAAAAAAGAATGTTGTAAGTTGCCCACTGTGGTAGTACATGCCTTTAATCCTAGCACTTCGGTGATGAAGACAGGACGATCAGGAATTCAAGGCCAACTTCAGCTACACAGAGAATTCCAGGATAGCCTAGGCTATATGAAATGCTGACTCAAAGAAAAACAAAAAATATGGTATTTGTATCTTGAGAGATCCTGTCTCAGAAAAGAAAAAAGAAAAAGGTTGTGATGTTTACTTTAAAACAGTAGGTAGGCTACAGGTTGTAGACTACAATTACTGCCTGGCCTCTGTCTCCCTGCAGAAGAGTCAATAAACCATTCTTTTCAAAAAAGAAAAAAAATTAAGGACACTACATTATAAACTGATGCCTGCACTTATCTGTAATCCTAGTGACTCAGGAAGATGATGCAGGAAGACCCAGGCTACAAATCCTATCCTGGAGGGGAAGGGGGGGGGCGGGCAACAACACCAGAAAAACCTCCCCCAATTTCCATTCTAACATTTTCTTTTCCTGAAAATGTTTTATTTATGCAGCATGGTTTAGAATTTGCTCAATGTTTTATAATATTTGAAGTATTTCAGTCTTGTCAACCACATAAACACAAGGACAGAACCTTGTTTCATACTCACATTAGTATATTGTGCTTATTACATTGTAATTATGTCTCATTATTGTCTTCCCACATAGGTTCTAAACAATTAAAGGCAGAGATCAAGTTTTACTTTTCTATCCTGAGGTCTTTCACACAAAATCCATCTCAATAAATGTTTGAGGAATGGATATATGAAGTAATCTGTTCCTCTTCAACACTTACACAACATTCTACAGAAGACAGGGGTTCTGTAAAGCTTGTTCTTGGACTCACACAGCAAAAAATTTTTGATTCAACTACCACACAAAGCTTTAACCTGTCCCAGAAAAGCATTTCTACTTTCAAGTTCAGTTACAAACAGCACAAATAAGTTTTCCTCTAATATACATCAAATAAGTGGGTTCCATGACTATATCTAAGCTAGCTCAAGCATTTAGAAACCATTATTCGAATTAATGAATTGTGAATCTCAATATGGCAAAATCCAGTTACATAATCAAAAGAAGTTATCCCATGTAAATTTATACCTACAAAATAGAGGCAAATTATTAGGAAGTGTCTAATAATCCTGTTTCTGTGGAGTAAAATGGATAAATTATCTTTACCCCTGACATGAAGCCATAATTTTCACTAGAAATGAATTAACTGACCAAAAAGTCCAAACTTGACTTCAGAAAACAGCTCTTGAGATTCAGAGGGAAATTTTTTCCTCAGTAATTTTAACTCCTGAACACTGCTTTATTTCCAGGTATTCAAAATCTATTCTGTCTCCCAAAATAAAACTGCATCTATTTCTTCAAAGACAATCTGAATGGGCATACTGTGGAAACACTGGGTTTCATATGCAAGGTACTAAAACTATGCCTAGATTGAGTGAGTGTTCAGCCTCCTGCTGCAACAGAAACACTTCCTTAGTTTTAAGTTGTATTTGTAAAAAAGTTTAAGCGTCTTACTGTACATTCTTTTGCCATATCATCTCTACTGATTTTACACTGCATATATAATTTCGCAAGCACATCGTAAAGGATTTCTACATTTGAATGAATCTGGGGAGAAACGTGTGGTGAACACACACCCCCTTCTTTCAGTTCACAAACGCTCCAGAGGAAGCACACCTCAGGGTTTTTTTTTTTTCTCAAGAAAGTCTCTCTCCCGCCCCCACCCCACGCTTTATTTTAGAGCAGCAATCATTCACTATCCTACTCACAGCCTCTACGTTGGAAAGAACCTCTCCAACTAATACTAGTTCACCAAGACTTCTTTCACAAGTCCAGAGTGTTGGTTTACTGGATATTTCTTTGGCAAGGGGAACAGGAAGCTGGGAGGGTCCGGGACGCCACCTTTCCCGCCACGCCATTTGGGACTCAGGTGCTGGCCGGCTGGCCCAGACTAGCCTTAGGTGGAGCGAGGCGGGGATGGGTGTTTGCAAAGATCTGACCCTCTTTCTTTTCCGCACCCCTATGCCACCCCCAATGGGTGAAAGACAACCTGGGCCCAACTCTTTGCCCACATTCAACAGACCCCCATTTCCCCCCGCTCTTCTTTCGGATGCAGCTTGGCCCCTTTTTTCCTGTGCTGAGTCTCCTTAGCCTCTCGGCTTCCAACACACACTTCCCCCTCGCCGCTGCCCCCCGCTGCCCCTTGAACCCCATTCTACCCCGTCTCCCCACACCACACCACCCCGCCCCCGGAGCAGCACCAACCCTCCACGCCTGCCCCAGCTCAGGAAGGAGCCGGGTCCCGGTGCCCACAGAACGCGAGTCCCTCCCAACACGTCCCCCCGGGGTGCAGGTCCCCCGAGGCCCGACCTTCCGCACCCCCTCCCCCAGCGCTACCCCTGCACCCCGTTTCCGTCGGCCCCGCCCCCCTGAGAGTGTCGCACTCACCGCTCCCGCCGTCGCATCCTTAACCGCCGCGGCTGCTATAGCTACAGGGAGCCAAGGCAACCAGCTCTCGCGATACTTCCCTCAGCGACGGCGAGAACGGTGGAAAAAAAGAGAGCCTCGCAGGGAAATGAGTCCGGGGACTGACGGCTGAGGATGTCTCGCGATAGTGATGTATAAGATGGCGGCGGGGCGGTTCGGGGTTAGAGCCGGGCAGGATTTGGAGGTGGGACGCGGGCGACGACGAAGCTGCTCTGGCGGAGCCGGAGAACGGCGGCCGGCCGGGGGTGCGTCCCCGCCGGCGACGGTTGTGCCGGCAGCCCGTCCACCGGGACGAAGTCAGGCACGCGCCCGGCTTCCGCAAACTTCCTCGTCCAACTGGGAACGGGGTTCCTTCCCCGCGGGGTTCCGTCTCCCTGGCCGTTTCCTTTCTGGTCGAATTGTTGGCGACGGGGTGGGTGGGCCCGGAATGGAGCTCCCCATCGCCTCGCAACCTCCCAGAATTTTTCGTCCGTTCTTTTTCTATTCCTCTTCCGCCAAACTTATTTGGCGTCCCTGGAAAGTTTATCCCAGGTGCCCCGCCCCATTAGTGTTCGAGACCAAAATAGGAAGTAAATCACACACCCACACACAAACCAGGATGGAAGGACGGAAAGAAGGAAAAACCGCCGCAGGTGGTCAGCCTGGGGACGCAGACGGGAATCTGGGTGGGGTGGGGTGCTGGGGACTTGTTGCTTGCCAGCCGTCACGTCCGTAGCGGCGCTCCGAACCCGGACCTACAGGACTGGTTCCGCTCTCAATAAAGCAGCCTCCGGAGCAGAAGGATTCAAGGAGCATCGGTCAACAGGGAGGGATGAAACACAAGGGACTGAACAGAGAATAGAAATTTGAAAGGTTTTTTTGTTTGTTTTGCCTCTAGAAGCCCTTGAGTAGTTTTTCTGAGGGGCTTTAGACCGACCGCAGCGTGCAGCTTTAATTTTCCACTTGCCACATTGATTAACAAATGAAATTAATTTCGCTAGTATATTTAACCACTTCAATTTGTAATCAGGCTAGGGAGCGGCAGGCATATTTCTTTTGAGTTCAAGGCCAGCCTGGTCTACATAATGAGGCCCTGTCTCAGAGGAAAACAAAATCAATTTCTAATTCATCAGTCGTTTTGTTTGCTTGGGTGAGTGGTGGTGGGTTTTTTTGTTTGTTTGTTTGTTTGTTTTTGTTTTTGTTTTTTTAATTTAATCAAGACAAGGTCTCACTGTGTAGCCCTGACCAGCCTGGAACTCAGAGATCTGCCTGCCTCTGCCTCCCAATGCTAGGATTCAAGTCCTGCGATGCCACACACAGCCAAGATTGGTTTTTGTTTTGTTTTTTGTTGTTGTTTTTTCACTATTTCAGAAGCCAGTGTTTAGGAGCTGGAGACAGATCTCTCAGGTTAAGAGCATTTGCTGAAAAGTAGCTCTTGGACAGGACCAGGGTTTAGCTAATAACTCCAGTTCCGGAGGATCTGACGCCCTCTTCTGGCTTCTGAGGATACTGCATGCATGAGGTATGCAAGCCAAACATCCATACACATAAAAATGAGTAAATAAAACTTAAAAATATTTATTTTGTATTTATGCCACACCTCAGCTTTCACCAGAAACGTTTAATGAGCTCAGTATTCATATGTGGCTAGTAGGTGCAGTATTGTACAGCATAGACTTAGTGTCTGCAGTATCAAATGAGCTATCGACCAAAGGAGTAATATTATGGGTATATGATTCATAAAAGAGGGAACTTTGGGATTGCTAACCCGATGGCTTCAGAGGCTAGATATTTAACAACAAAAGCTAATTTTTATAACACCACAAGAGGTAGTGGGTACTAGAACCCACTAGAATCACAAACTCCTACCTGAAAGGACTATCTCTCCCCAGTTTTTGTCTGTTTGTTTGTGTTTCTTTTGTTTTTTGTTGTTTGTTATTTTAGAGAGAGAATTTCACTATATAGCCCTGGCTGTCCTGGAACTCACTCTGTAAACCAGGCTGGCCTCAAGTTCAGAGGTCCACCTGCCTCTGCCTCCCAAGCGTTAGGACTAAAGGCGTGCGCCACTGTGTCCAGTTTCTCTGTTTACAACAGAGACTTTTAAAGCATGCTATGTGGAGGCCTAAGTTCAGTCCCCAACACTGCAGTAAGAATAAAGCTGATGGGCTGGATGTAGTGGCAGAGTGGGAAGATCACAAGTCTGGGCCAGCCTAATCTACATAGGGACTTACAGCCCATCCAGGGCTACATAGACTGTATCAGAAGATAAAATTAGCATGATGGCAGACAGAAGACATCAAAAGGGAAGACAACTTTTTCATGCCACTAGAGAGGAACTGAAGGAAGCTGGTCAAGCCCTCCATCACTCTGTTACATACTTGGGCATTCATTGTTCATTTCATGTTTTGTTTTTTCCTTTTGGAAACAGGGTTTCTCTGTGTAACAGTACTGGCTATCCTGGAAATCACTCTGTAGACCAGGCTGGCCTTGAACTCACAAAGATCCGCCTGCCTCCTGAGTGCTGGGATTAAAGATGTGCACCACCGCTTTTGTTAAATCGTTTGTCAATAAAGATTCTGTTGCATTTGCTTGGAGATGGAAAGTACAGGAGGACAACTGTGGAAAGCAGCTTTCTCCTCCCATTGTGTGGGTCCGGAGGATGGAACTCAAGCCATCAGGCTTAAACCTTTATCCCCTGAACCATCTCACCAGCCCCAGCCAGCCTGTTTGTGATTGTTGTTTTTGTTTTGGAGCAGGGTCTCAGTGTGTAGCACTGGCTGTCCTGGGATTAACTATGTAGACCAGGCTGACCTGGAACTCACAGAGAACCATCTGAATCTGCCTCCCAAATGCTGGGGTTAAAGGTTCATGCCACCATGTCCAGCTAGCCTTAGGTGTTTTGGGTTTTTTTTTGTTTGTTTGTTTGTTTGTTTGTTTGTTTTTGAGATAAGTTCTTATGCTGGCCTCAAACTCCTCATCCCTCCTCCACTTCTCAAGTGCTGGGATCACAGGGATATACTACTAAGCCTAACGCAAAAATTGTGTGTGTGTGTGTGTGTGTGTGTGTGTGTGTGTGTGCATGTGAACAGGAGTGTGCGCATGTACGTATCTACTTTTGTGTGTGTGTGTGTGCGTGCGTGTGTGTGCGCGCGCGTGTAGATTAGAGAACAACTTGCAGAAATTAGTTCTCTCAACCCTCTGGGTCCCCAGAGCTGAACTCAGCTCCTCTGTTTTCAAGGCTAGCACCTTCACTGCAGTCCTCTCAGGCCCTCACTGCAGTCCTCTCATAGCCTTAGTTTTTTAAGACAGGCTCTCACTGTGTAGCTCAGGGTGGCCTTTCACTCAGTGGCCTGTCAGTCTGACGGGACTGAGATTTATTGTCTTCCTGTCCTTTCCTCCAGAATGCTTGGGTTGCAGGCATGCACCACTGTGCCTGGCTGCAGAAGTAAAGGGATGTCAAACCTGAGAGTGTGATTTGATTTCTGTCTGGATCCTATACAGGCATACACTGTTATATATGAAGCCACTGTCACTGCTTCTGACATAGTTTGTCTTCTAAGTAGACCTACCTACAAAAGGAATAATTTCACAATCATTCCGGCTCCCTGTAAATTTTTTAAATTGTCTCATAACTTTTTTGTGCCGAGCCGGGCGGTGGTGGCGCACGCCTTTAATCCCAGCACTCGGGAGGCAGAGGCAGGCGGATCTCTGTGAGTTCGAGGCCAGCCTGGGCTACCAAGTGAGCTCCAGGAAAGGCGCAAAGCTACGCAGAGAAACCCTGTCTCGAAAAAACCAAAAAAAAAAAAAAAAAAAAAAAACTTTTTTGTGCCATGTTTTTTTTTTTAAATTTCAGAAAATCTGATCTTGAAAAATACTCAGTCTCTAGTCTTCGGTGATTAACTAGCAGCACATGCTGGTCACCCTCTGCCCTCTGAAAGGGACTAATTTAATGGTTACTTCATGATTGACTATGAAAGCTCTTCATTACATGGGGAGTGTTGGTGCCTCCTCGGCCTAATATAGAACCTACAATAAACATATGCTAAAGGATACAGACCAGTGGTGGTGGCGCACGCCTTTAATCTCAGCACTTGGGAGGCAGAGGCAGGTGGATCTCTGTGAGTTCAAGGCCAGCCTGGTCTACAGAGTGAGATCCAGGACAGCTAGGGCTACACAGAGAAACCCTGTCTCAAAAACAAAAAAACAAAAGAAGACTATAGATGAGCAGAGACTCCATAGTTAAGGGTGTATACTGCTCTTCCAGAGGACCTGAATCTGGATCCCAGCACTGACACCATGTGGCTCACAACTCCTTGTAGTCACAGTTCCAGGGGGTCCAACACTCTTCTGGCCTCTAAGGGCACCTGCACTCATGAGTATACAATACATAGACACATACGCATAATTTTAAAAATTAAAAAAAAAAAAGGAACACATCTCCTCTTCCAAAGGCTGAGGGATCATTTCAGAAGAGGAGGGTTGGAGAGATGGCTCAGAGGTTAAGAGCACCGACTGCTCTTCCAGAGGTCCTGAGTTCAATCACCAGCAACCACATGGTGGCTCACAACCATCTATAAGGAGATTTGGTGCCCTCTTCTGGCCTGCTGTCAGATATGCTGTATAGTTAATTAAAAACAAATAAACAAAAAAACCATATACATTTCAGAAGAGGAGGCAAAAAGAGTGTAAGAGCCAGAGGCAGTAGATGACTGCAAGGTAACACTGTCTTTGGGACGCAGCAAAGCAACTGCACATGTGAACTCATAGTAGCTGTGACAGCATGCAAAAGGCCTGTGTTAGCCCAAGCCAGACCAGACCCCAGCACCCCAGCCAAGGAACTGCTGGCATTGCCAGCTTCTGGGAGAGGGGAAGTCAGCTTTCTCTAAGCTTCAGTGGAAGACCACACATCCAAGATGATTTGGGCAGCATGAACTGTCCTTGATGTGGAGGAAAAGACACAAAGTTAGATGATAGAGAAAGGGGATGGAGCTGAGAAGTATTGGACAGGAAAGGTGAATAGGACCACAACATTCTCAAAGAACTAATAAGAAAGAACAAATATAGATGGGCCTGAGGAATGTAGCTATGTGGCAGAGCACTCCACTTAGAATGTATGAAGCCTGAATCCAAAGAAGGATGAAAGTGTAGGAATTAAATCAGTTGGTAGAGAGCTTGCCTAACATGCTCACAGCCCTGGGTTTGATTCCTAGCACGCATAAACAGGGCATGGTGATGCATGCTTGCCTATAATCAGCACTTGAGAACTGGAAGCAGGAGGATCAAAAGTTCAAGGTCAACCCTGGCTATATCAAATTCCAGGCCAACCTGGGATACATGAGACCTGTCAAAATAAAACAGAAAAGAAAAAAACAACACAGTCCTCCAATCTACAAGCCTAAGAATCTGATGAAAACTGAGAACTCTTTGCAGACCTATCTGTGTTCTACCCATATCACCTCAGACCACCCCAAGGCATATTACGACTTTGGGACAAGCTCAGGTCACCCCCTATCTCAGAATATCTGGACATAGTATTCTTCTTTATCTGCAGGGAGTGTGGTATGAACCTCCCCCTATGACTAAAACTACAGATAGTACCAAACACTGAGCATACTATTTTTTTAATAGTTGCATACCTATGATAAAGTTTTAATTTATAGGGTTGGTGGTATAGCTCAGTGGTAGAGCACTTGTTTAATATTCATGAGATCCTAGGTTTGATCCTCAGTACCACAAAAAATAAAGTCTAATTTATAGAAATTAGCAAGAATTAAAAAAAAAGAAAAAGAAAAAAAAAAAAAGAAAATAAAACAAAAAGCCAGGCAGTGGTGGCACATGCCTTTAATCCCAGCACTCAGGAGGCAGAGGCAGGCAGATCTCTGTGAGTTCGAGGCCAGCCTGGTCTCCAAAGCGAGTTCCAGGAAAGGCGCAAAGCTACACAGAGAAACCCTGTCTCGGAAAAAAAAAGAAAGAAAGAAAGAAAGAAAGAAAGAATTAATGAAATAGAATAATGATGGCAATACACCACATTGACTAAGAACACTGCACTACTGTATGTCAGTAGTGTGATAACTAAGATGACTTCTAATGAGAGGATAGCTTTTGTAGTCCGGACACGGCACAGGGGAGAAAAATCAGTGTAGGTCAGCACAATTTTCATCATACTACTAGAACAGTGTGCAATTCAAAACTTGAGAATTGCTTTGGGGGGTAGACAGATGGCTCAACAATTAAGAGCACTTGTTGCCCTTGCAGAAGACCGGGGTTCATTTCCCAGCTAACAACCATCTGTAACTCCAGTTCCAGGGAGGATCTGATGCCCTCTTCTGACCTTCTCAGGCACTGCATGAGCGTGGTGCACATGCAGACATGGAGACACACACATAAAACCAATCTTCTAAATATTTTCTTTTTAGAATTTCTAGACTGCGATTATATTCTATTACTTTTTTTTGTATATAGAAGGACCAATCTGTAACATCAACAAGCAGTGAGAATGAGATTTGCTGACTAAATACTCCATTTTTTACTCCTGAGGGACCAGTTCTGAGGTATGTTTTATTGTAATGTTTCTCAGAATTTTCCAACATAGATCACCTGAAGAAAATAATAAAATAGGTTCTAAGCCCTAATTTTCATTTATTTATTTAATTTTTTTTTCTGCTTTCCAAGCCCTAATCCTGAAATTCACTTTGTAGTTCAGGCAGACCTTGAATTCAAGAATCTTTCTGCTGCCAGGTGGTGGTGGTGCATGCCTTTAATCCCAGCACTCAGGAGGCGGAGGCAGGTGGATTTCTGAGAGTTCAAGGCCAGCCTGGGCTACAGAATGAGTTCTGTAGGCCTCAGCCACCACATTCATCTGCATTTCATTTTTTGTTTCTTTGGTTTCTGTTGCTATTGTTTGAGACAGGCTTTCTGCATAGCCCTCTTTGACTGGCTTAGAATTCACTCTGTACCTTGGTGGGCCTCAAATTTCCCATGATCCTCCTGCTCCTCCCAAATGCTGTCATAGGCCAGGACAAACCACCATGCCCACTTTCGAGCTCCTCAGATACTGCTTCCCAAGTCATGGGCGTTCTTGGAGTTCTGGGAGTAGCAGGGCTAGCTTGGATGTCCAGTGGGATTCAGCCCCTGCTCCCCCAAACTGTAGCAGGAATCTTAAAAGTTCTTATTAATAAAATCAAACCTGAGGCCAGTTATTGGGGTCCATGCTGGTAGATCAGAGAGACAGAACAAGCCACAGCTATCTCACCTCGCCGGATCCTCAGCTGGTCTTGTCTCCTCAGACTGGAGGCCTCTGAGTCCTCATCCGGAATGGGTCTCAGCTGAATTACTGCTCAAAAGCCTGAATGCTTAACCAGCCAAAATCTTAACCAGCCAAATGCCCCCTGGTTTCTGGTCCTCCCGCCTTATATATCTTTCTGCTTTCTACCACCACTCCCTGGGATTAAAGGCTGGCTTTCTGGGATTAAAGGTGTGTGTCACCATGCTTGGCTATTTCCAATGTGGCCTTGAACTCACAGAGATCCAGAGGGATTTCTATCTCTGGAATGCTAGGATTAAAGGTGTGAGTGCCACCATTTTCTAGCCTTTGTATCTAGCGGCTGTCTGTTCTCTGACCCCAGATTAATTTATTAGAGTACACAATATTTGGGGGAACACAATACCACCACACCAAACACCCATTGTTGCCTTTCTCCTCACTTCCTTATGCTGCTTGGATTTTATCCTCTAAATGAACTGTTTCCATCCAAGCCTTATATCAGATATTTTAGGGAGGCATCCAAATGGTGCAAACCTTCTTAGGAAAATACACATAGAGAGTTTTGCTTAGACTTTTAAAGAACACAGGAATTCTCCAAAAGCTGCTTTTTTCTCCTCCCCTCTTTTGAGATAGGATCTTAAGTGGCCCAGGCTGGTCTCTAAACAGATACAGAATTTAGTAGTCCAAACAAATTAGAAAAGTAGATTTTAATTCCAGCACTTGGGAGACAGAGGCAGGCATAGTTCCGTGAGTTCAAGGCCAGCCTGGTCTACATAGTGAATCCCAGGCCAGTGAGAACTACAGAGTGAGGCCCTGTCTCAAAAAGGAGTTAGCCTGACACTCTAGGGTGACCCTAAGGCTGAAATCAATACAGAGTGTTGTCACTCATTCCTATTGTGTTTTCATGGTTTCTGTACACACTGTACTTCGGACACCACTGGCCCCTGGTACTCTTAGGTCTTTTTTTTTTTTTTTCTATTTTCTTAGTGCATTGGTGTTTTGCCACAGAACTCGAGTTACAGACAGTTATGAGCTGTTATGTGGGTGCTGGGAACTGAACCCAGGTCCTCTGGGAGATCAGTCAATGCTCTTAACAGTTGAGCCATCTCTCCAGCCCCAGGCCTTACCTTGCAATGCTCACATAGAACCAAGCATACTGTCACTATAACTGGTTTCTCCTACTTCTTTATTGATCCTACATGGTCTCCTAGTTAGGTTTCTTTATTTTTAGATTTATTTATTTATTTATTTTACATGTATGATTGTTCTGCCTGTTTGGGGTGTGTGTGTGTGTGTGTGTGTGTGTGTGTGTGTGTGTGTGTGTGTGTGTGTGTGTACCATACTGGTGCCAAGTACCCGCAGAGGGAAGAAGGCATCAGATCCACTGTACTAGGTGGTTGTGAACCACAACATGGGTGATCAGAACTAAACCCCAGTCCTCTGCAAGAGCAACAAGTGCTCTTAACTTCTGAGCCATCTCTCCAGCCCCATATAACCTTTTATACGTGTTCCCAAGCTCCCTCTGGTATCTGGTAACTTTAGATTTACTTATTTTTATTCTATGTATGCTAGTATTTTGTCTGCATGCATATATGTACACTATATGCATACCTGGTGCACTAAGAGGCCAGAAGAGGGTAACAGATCCCCTGGAACTGGGATTACAAGTGGTTGTGAGCAGCACAGTTCTGGCTGTTAGCATCGGAACTCTGGTCCTTGGGAAGAGCAGTAAGCGCTTAAACTGATGAGCCATCTCTTCAGTTCTCTGGTAGCTAAACATGATCTTATTTTGTGAAAATCAAAGGAAATTTCACTTTCTTTTTTTCTTTTGTCTCCTGGAATTAACTCACTTTGTAGATCAAGCTGGCCTCAAACTCACAGAGATCCCCCTGCCTCTGTCTCCCAAGTGTTGGGATTAAAGGCGTGCACCACCAACGCCCAGCTGAACCTTCTCTTTCTTAACTCTCCATTTTCCTTTCCTGGTATTTCCTAGCTTCTAATTGGCTACACAAAAAAAAAAATAACAAATACCAGTGTTACCAACATTTATTTCCTAATCAGTGTACAATAGCTTCTTAGCTTTATACACCCATGGGCCAGCATGTGGTTTTACACATGAAAATTTATCTCCTGTAACACTGAATGATATGTTTGTTTATACCTGATGAATGTGGTTTTGTGGGTGTGGATGTGAGTCTCACGTGTGGTCTTAAAGTCTGAACAATGAGTGTTTGGTATTTAGCTTTATTTGGTCTTTGTTCAGCATCAGCCTCAGTTTTCATCAGCCTTCAAACATCAGAGGAAGAGTGAGTTCATTTCCTTGAAGTTTATTGACTCTTACCGGTGGCAGAGAAAATTCCATAAAAGAGCAGATTCCATATGGAACAACAGGATGGGCTCTCTGAGCTGGTGAGGAGGGGTGCCTCGGGGTGGGGACTTGAAGCATGGAAAGGCAGTGCCCCCACCCTTCACCCTCCATTGCCACAAGGATACTGGAGTAATAGTTGGGGAATCCTGTCCAGCACCCCCTCTCACATTGGAACCAAAGAGGGGAAATGATGTGAATTACAGGAGGAAACATTTCACAGCTCCTCTGTCTCCCCATCCAAGGGGATGCCAATATCCACGTTGTAGTCTCCATGCTCCCCGGAGCTCAACCAGGGAATAGGGGTTCGATTGAAAGAAGGCCTGTTGGAGAGGTTCTGGTTGTAGAGGACCAGGGGTTCACTCAGCAGAGGCCCCAGGTCAAACTTGGGCATCTGGAAGGTCATGCGTTTGGAGGCCTTCTCATATCCACCATAGGGCATTGCTGTCCTGAGAGGGGACATGTTACATAATTAAGAATCAGAATAAAAGAAACAGGACCGTATCGATGAGACATTACCCTGTTTTAAGGGAAGAGAATCTACAAATTATAGCTTCTGTGCTCCTGGTTCTTCTTCCTGAACACTCCATGTCCCTGGCTTGCTTATCTCTCCAAAGTTAGTGATGAATGGAGTCTAATGGACTCTGCATGGTCTTGTGGATGGCTGTGACATACAGCAGCATTTTAGTAAAAGTGGCCCCAAATACCGTAGACCCAATGGTATGAGACCATACTTAGATTACAATGTATCTGCCCCTCTAATTCTACCCTCACTGCAAGGGGGTAGTCGATGGCCTGGCTGGGAGGAATTAACAATCTAATGTAAAAGCACTTCTGTAGACCTCCCTCAACCTGCTCTCACACAGATCTCCTATCCATGGTCTACGGTGCCCAATTCTAAACCAGTAACTTGGAGCAGGGTATAAAGAAACAGAAGTGTCCTGGAGAGAGAGTAACGGCATCATCAGTTGAATGGGTGGGAGCCAGAAGAAGGTCTAACCACAAAATGTAGCATCCCCATTTTACCTTCAAAGAAACCAAAGCTCAAAAAAGCAGTGCCCAAACTGCTGATCGGTGAACTAACAGAGATCTTGCTTCCCAACAAATCTTTCCTCCACCACACCGCTACAAGAGGTAAAAGTGCAGAGATCTTCCATGAAGGCCTACATCCCCTTAGTCTTCTGAAACATTTAACTACAACCCCATACCAAATATAACACAGTAAGTAGTACCACACAGGGGAATACATCTGGTTTCTTCCCACTACCCTACCTGTTGAAGGACTTATATTTAGGGAGTTCAGCCTTGGCCCCATACGCCAACAGGTCAATGCCAAGTTCCACTTTTTGCTGAGGGTCAACCCCCATGGCCCGATCCCACGGGGAAATATAAGTCTTGAACACAGTGACATGTTTTCCTTCTCCACCTGCCTGGTCACCTGGTAGCCATGAGAGAGAAACATAAATCAAATAATAGCAGCTATTATTAGTAGCTAATGAAAGCTAATCCCGTACTCCACCACTAGAGAAGTTGCTGAGTCTAGAGACCTGAGGTATAACATCCTGGGAGTTGTATGTGGTTTATAACATAAAGGTAGTCTGGGGTGAGATCTGTGACTGAATCTGAGAAGCCAGGGGGGAAAAATAACTAAAAGATAAGACTGTGGGTAAAACAGACACATTGCTGTATCCTGGATACCTTCTGGGTCCAAGATGCCTCATTCTCCCTCTTCCCAAATAGGTCCCATTCCTAGGGACATCCCTGCTCTAGGGACCAGGTGCATTACTTCTGGTGAGAATGCTTGCCTGTTCCTGGCTCTCCAATCCCTGCTGTGCCAGGAGCTCCTCCTCTGCCAGCCTGGCCCCCAGGACCACCTGCACCCCCAGCTCCAAAGCCGGAGCCTTGATGATGGTGATGGTCAGCGCCATACTGTCCAGCAGAGCCACTGCCCCCGGCCTGGCCTCCACCGCCACCCTTGCCATAGGAGAACCCCTGACCCGCTGACTCCAGCTGTCCTCCCACTGTGGGAAGGAACTTCTGGAAGTGATCCTGAAAGGAAATCAGAAAGCGAGAGGAAGGTTAGCAGTGGGTGTGCAGAATACACAAAGAGAGAGAACATCTACGAGAGGGCGTGCGTGGAGTTTAGGACCAGCCAGAAGATGCCAGCGTTCTGAGAAATCCTCCCTAATGACTGCATAGGAGATTGTCAGCCTGAGGGAATTACTTTCCTACAGAGGATTCATTCTCTAATTACAGCTCGGGGTAAGGCAGCTCATTTCCCCCTCCCCCACCCTGTCTTGACAAGGCAGAGCAAAGACATCTCCTCAACAAGAAACTGCAAGGAGGAGGGTCGGGGAGACGCCAGTTTAAATTTGACAAAAAGGAAGGAGATCTCTGTCCCTCCTTCTCAGTTTGCCCAGCAGTGAGAACTCTTGCCCCGCTCCTCTCTCCCCCTCCCTTCTGGATGGCCTACAGGACCAGAACTTTCTCCCAGTGAAACTGTAGCAGGTGAAGCGGGGGAGGATGGCCAAAAGGGCAACACTGGGTTTGGCTCCGAAGCCTAAAAATAACCCCACCAACTCCTTGAGGAGGCCCTCCTGGCCACCTTCCCAAGTAGCCCACGCTCCACCCAGCTGTAACCAGACCCAGCCCGGAGGAGGGCTTTGGGCCCTCCTAAAGTTAGATATGACCCACTCAGCACTTTGACTTCGGTTCTGCATAAGGGCTAATGACAGACTCTCCTGCCTTGGCCACATCCATGTAGGCATCTATTTCCACTGTCCCCCAGCCACCCAGAGAAGGTGGAGGAGGAAGAGAGAAAACGGAGCCGGTCCCCTCCTCCTCGGCCGGCCGTAACATCCTGTGCCTGGCCTCTCTCCAATCCCTTCTTCTCTTTCTCTGGAGAAGCCTGACTATGTGAGGTCCTAAAGAAAGAAGATTTAGTCCCCCTGTCCTGCATCCTTAAAGAAGAGATTAAACCTTTAAAAAAAAAAAAAAAGATTTATTCAAAACAAAGATGGCTATAAAAACTCATTAAACTCCTCTAATGTTGCCAAATTTAACAAATAACATTGCAGACTACCACTTAAATTTTATGTTCAGGTATAGAACAATATTTTTAATATAAATATGCCCTAAGTGTTTAATGGGACATGTTTACATTAAGAAAGTGTTAGCCGGGCAGTGGTGGTGCACACCTTAAATCTCAGCACTTGGGAGGCAAAGGCAAGCGGATCTCTGTGAGTTCAAGGCCAGCCTGAGCTACCAAGTGAGTCCCAGGAAAGGCGCAAAGCTACACAGAGAAACCCTGTCTCAAAAAACCCAAGGAAAAAAAAAAAAAGAAAAAGAAAGTGTTTGTTAGGTATTTAAGTTTAAAATATAACACATTTTTAATCCCAGCACTCAGGAGACAGAGGCTCTGTGAGTTTGAGGCCAGCCTGATCTCCGTAGTTCCAGGCTAGCCAGATTTACATAATAAAATTCTATCTAAAAAAAAATTATTTTATTTTTCCAATCTTATTTTTTTGTTTATTTGTTTGTTTGTCTTTGAAATAGGATTTCTCTGTGTAACAATCCTGGCAGTCCTGGAACTGGATTTATAGACCAGGCTGGCCTGAAACTCACAGAGATCCACCTGCCTCTGCCTCCCAAGTGCTGGGATTCAAGGCGTGAGCCAATACTGCCCAGCCTTATATTGTTTTTATGTCCAAAATGTTACATGTTAGAGGCAACATATTTAACAGGAAAAAAAGACAACTGTTGATTTTAAAAACTTTTCTCAAACTCATGAGCAATCCTCTATCCTTAGCCTCTTCAGTGACCAAGCTCACTGCATAAACCTGGGGGTCAAATTTAACTGGATACTCTCTTTGGATTTTTGTTGCTTGCTGTTTGCTTTTGGGGGGCACTGGACACGAATCCTAGGGTCCCGTGCATTCTAAGCACCTGCTCTGCCACTCAGCTGTACGGTCAGCCCCGAGATTCTGTAGTTTTTAATCCTTGTTTCATTTTTATGTCCCCAATATTACAAAGAACATACTTTACTAAAACAAAAATATTCATTGTGTATCTTAACTTCAAAATACAGGACTGGGTGTCCTGTGTTTTATCTGGCAACCCTATTTTAACACTTTCCCACACTGGGAAGGAATTTTCTCCCTCTGGGTGTGGTTCCCCTCAGCCTGCACTGGCTCCGAGATGGGACTAAGCTTCAGAAATGGGCTGTAACCCACCCTAGAGCTGTTGGGAATGTAATATATGCAGAGACTTAATGAGCTTCTCATTTCTCATGGAGAGGAGGTCGGTGGTGTTTGGGGAACCTGGGGCCTACTGAGAAGCTGTCGGGAAAAGGCACTGGGCTGTGAGAGAGTTCACGTCCATCCTCACCATTGAGCTGTCGGAGAAAACATCGGGGTGGTTCTCATAGATAAATTTCTCCACCCGCATCTGCCGCAGCTTGAACATCTTGGAGCCTCGGTTGGTGAGCAGCGACAGCTCCTCCAACATCACATCCCTTGGGACACTGATCTTCTTGCCCAGGTTCAGGCCGGAGCTCTCCCGTCCGCCTTATCCGGGAGGTGGAGAAGAGGAAATTAAGGCTTTCTGAACTCAAGAGTAGAACCACCACCCACAGCTGAGTGTATAATCAAAGAGATCGTCTAGGGGCAAGATGCTGTTATCTGACCAAGGTCTATCTAGTTTATGGAGAAGTTTTTGTCTTATTTGTGTATCTTTTAAACTTTTTAAGAGCCTTGTTTGTGTTTTATGTGTATTGAGTATTTTGTGTGCATGTGTGTTATGTGCACCACATGGGTGCCTGGGGCCCACAGCGGTCAGAAAAGGGCTCGGATCCCCTGGGACTGGAGTTAATGATGGTTGTGAGCCACCATGTGGGTGCCAGGAACTGAACCTGGGTCCTCTGCAAGAGCAACTTGCTCTTAACCACCAAGTCATCTCCTCACTTCTTCAGTCTGTGTGTGTGTGTGTGATAGAGTGTGTGTGTTTGAGACAGGGTCTCACTATGTAACCCTGGCAGGCCTGGAATTCACTATTAGACCAGGCTGGCCTTGAACTCACAAATCAGCCTGCCTCTGCCTCCTGAGTGCTAAGATTAAAGGTGTGCGCCACCATACACAGCCCATGAGAAGTTTTGATTTCCTGGTTTCAAGTTAGAGAGAACACAAGGGACCGAGGCTTGGGGCCTAACAGTTGGAATACTGGAGTAGAGAGGTAAGCAGGGCCAAAGGGGGCATGGGCTGGAGTGGAAGAGAACAAGTATGAGGGAATATGGTAGACAGAGGCCAGTAGAGAAATTATAGCATGGGGGAGGCGATAGGCCCAGCCTGCGTGCAGTTGCCCATCTCTAAATACGGATCCTTGTGTCCTTTGGTTTTGATTCAGTGAACTCTGGCTCCAGAGGTATCAGGAGAACTTCACACTTGGTAACTGGTGTGCATCCCTGGGGAGCACGCCTGCGCACTTTCCTATTTTAAAGGCTTACACAAGTTCTCTAGCACTTAGAAAGAAAGAAGGGAATTAACCATTTGGTGGGGCCTGGTATGTGTCCCCACATAGGTCTCACTGACATGGGTCCTGTGGTCCGGGCCTGGCTGAGTGGGGGAGCGGGGTGTTATCCCCCAGTCATCAGTGCACAGGGCAGGAGGACGTAGAGTAAAGGTTGAGCTCTTCCTGCCGCTTGCTCCTTGTCCTTCTTACCTCTCCCATCACTCGGTCTCCCACACCCTCCATGGCTGCAATTCCTCTGACTTATATCCAGTCTTATGGGATTTCTGGGACTCCCGTGTCAGGGTGCTCCTAAAAGTCCTGCATTGGGAGCGTCAAGCATGCCCTACCTCCAGTGAGTTCCATGATCAGTTTGCTGGATTTCCTCCTCTTGTTAGGGGCCGGGGTTCCCGAGAGCGGCATGGTGGAGATGGATTTGACCTGGGAGGGGTGGGAAGCAGGCTTGAAGGAGAGACAGGGAATGGGAAGGATGAGTGTGTGCACCGGAGCCGTACTTCTTGCTTTCTTTCTTTCTTTTTCTTTTTGAGAGGGTTTCTCTGTGTAGCCCTGGCTGTCCTGTGTCCTGGAACTTCTCTGTAGACCAGGCTGGCCTCGAACTCACAGATCCGCCTGCCTCTGCCTCCCAAGTTGGGGTGTGCCACCACCTCCCAGCTTAGTACTCCTTAACTTGGGGTTAAGGACAAAATTTCTTCAGATCGTGTGTGTGTGTGTGTGTGTGTGTGTGTGTGTGTGTGTGTGTGTGTGTGTGTTTCTCCAGTGCTGAAGATTGAACTCAAGGCTTCATGCATGCCACGAGGATTCTCTACCACTAAGCCATGCCATCCACTTCAGGTTTTCACAGACATGTGTATTCCCCGAGAAAGTAAACTTTACTGCCTCGGGGCTTCTGTTTTCTTTGGAATCAGAACAGGAGGTTGAGCTACAGCCCTTTCCCTACCTCTCACCAGCCTCTTGTGCCCACTTTCCATAGATCCTGTGTGGGGATCAGGAGCAGGGCCGGAGCTGAGGGTTGTTTAAAAGACAACATCCCTGGCAGGGCAATGCACCCAGGTTTCTTGAGCCTGGCATGATTTAAATCTGTATTGGGATATCAGCCTACAGCTCCGGCTTCAGACTCTGGTCTCCTCCTCGGGCTTCTGTCAAGGCCAAGGGGGTAAAGAAATGCTCCACTTGTGTTGAGGAGATCCAGCCAAAACACTCTCCATAGGAAGGGGGGTTGTTGTTCTTCCAGGAGGCCAACTGGAACACGGCCTGAGAGGTCATGGGGGTGTTCCTTGCTCCCTCGGGCACTCCTATCCCAAGCTGCAGAGCTGGGGTGGAGAGGAACTGAGGGCATTTGAGCTCTGACAGATGTCAGTTCAGCAATATCATACATAGCAGTAGAGACTTGTGGGGGGACAGAAGCATAGTAATCAGATCCAGCTGTGGATGGGGAAAAGCTAGGGAAAGCTGGGAACTTCATTCTCTCCCTAACAGTCATGCAGTTTTCTATGGAGTCCTATCTCACAAGCACAGCTACACTCCACCAACCTCGTGGGGTCTCAGGCCACCCCTTCCCATCCCTCAGGTACCTCCCCACCCATCTGCATTCCCCCCCCTGGACAGCTGGGAGCTGAGCAGAGATGAGGAGAGAGGCCACTCCCCTAGGATGAGAAATCACATTGCAGACAAGGTCAGAAGAGTGGGCTCCAGCCCCTTCAGACCACAGAGCTGCAGACTTACCAGCCGCCTCAGTTGGTGGTCAGCTCGCCCTGGGGTCCAGCGGCTGTGGAGGACTGAGCTGCTGTGACTGACTGGCGAACCTGAGCTGGGCAAGCGTAGGGCGCCACCGGCAGCAGGGGGAGGGATGGTGGTTATTAATAGAGATGATGAGCACAAGCGGCTCAAATGGCACAGGGGGACTGAGACCCTGGAACCAGTGCCTGCTCTCCTTGCCTGATGTTCAGGAAGGGGGAGGGCCTCCGAGAGTCCCCCACCAGGCTGTCTGAGTCGGGGATCAGTGGAGCAGTGGGCTTAGGGGTGCACCTCCTCTTTGCACCTTGGCCCTTAGATCCAAAGGAGCATTTCAGGAGGCAATTTAAGGCAGACGCGGAGAGGAGGCAGAGAGTAAGTGGCGGGTAAGAGTAGGTAAAGGGGCGGGCGGCGGTGGCGCACGCCTTTGATCCCAGCACTCGGGAGGCAGAGGCAGGCGGATCTCTGTGAGTTCAAGGCCAGCCTGGTCTACAGAGCAAGACCCAGGACAGGCACTAAAACTACACAGAGAAACCCTGTCTCGAAAAACCAAAAAAAAGTAGGTAAAGGGAAAAAACAAATTAAAACCAGAAAACATGATCTGTGGGCCACTCAGGGCCATCCCAGGCCAGGGCTGAAGGGACCCATGGGTGTATTGGGGGTGGGGGGATTAAAGCCCTAAGTTTGAAGATAGGATGGAAACTCCCACAGTGGGGTTGCTTTTAAGTTTCTTGACTAGGCCAGCCTTTGCTCTGAGGGTTAGAGTTGGCAGGGTGAGGGACCAGCTTGGTGGAACCCACTGCAGAGGGCGTGGTGAAGGCCTGCCTGCCTCACGCCTTTTCTTTCCTCTTAGCACAGTGGCTCTCAACCTGTGGGTCATGACCCTTCCCCAGGGGTCACATATCAGATATCCTGCATATCAGATATTTACATTGGGATTCATAACAGTAGCAAAACTACAGTTATGAAGTAGCAACAAAAATAATTTTATGGTTGGGGATTACCACAACCTGAGGAACTGTATAAGGGTTGAAGAAGCATCAGGAAGGTTGGAAACCACTGTCTCAGTAGCGGCAGTAATACCCTGAACACTTCCTCATCTTCTGCTCAGCTGCTTTTGTACCTCTTACCTTAATAGCTGTCTGAGGAACTGGCGTGTGTGTGTGTGTGTGTGTGTGTGTGTGTGTGTGTGTGTGTGTGTAGTTAGTTTAGTAAACATATAATAGTTTCCTGAGCCTGGGCATGGTGGTGCATGACTTTAATCCCAGTACTCAGGAGCCCTCAGCCAGGGCTACACAGAAAAATCTTGTCCCCCCGCCCCAAAATAAAAAGTTTATTTTTTACACATGTGTCATTGTACTTCGTTCATATCCCCCCCCCCCCATGACCATCCCTTGTTCCCACGCCTCGAAGGAAGAGGTTTTTGAAGCTTCCAGAATGCACTGGTCCCTCTGGGAGTCCCCCATCCTTCCTGACCACACCCTTCTCCCAGTCTATTCTTGTCTCGCTTAAACTGGGGGCTGACCGTCCTCCCCACACACCATAGCAGGTGGCCACTGTCTAGACCTTTTATCTTTGGTCCATTTCCTCCCAACCCAAGGAAACAGGAGGAAAAAAAACATAAATAGTGAAAGGTGACTTTTTTTTTTTTTTTTTTTTTTTTTTGGTTTTTCGAGACAGGGTTTCTCTGCGTAGCTTTACGCCTTTCCTGGAACTCACTTGGTAGCCCAGGCTGGCCTCGAACTCGCAGAGATCCGCCTGGCTCTGCCTCCCGAGTGCTGGGATTAAAGGCGTGCGCCACCACCGCCCAGCTATGAAAGGTGACTTTGTTATTACTGCTACATCCCTGTCAAACAAAATAAAACAGAACTCAAAAGCCTGAGCTCCTATGACCGAGTATCTGAAACAAGTATGTGAAGACATGCCAATTAGCCTGTGGTGCTTCAGCCCTTCTGTTGGAATTCTCAGACTGTACTTGGGAGCAGCATCTGGTTGTTGGCACAAACATGCCCCCTTCTGGTAAGCTCAGTAATGACATGTTCCTTCTCTCCTTCCTCCGGTCAGTCCCCAGATTGTCTATTCAGTCTCCACTCTCTCTATCTTCCCTGTTCCATACACCCACACCTGCCATTGCATTCCCTTTGCATGATTCCCAGACATTGTTCAGCACAGCTACTTCCTCCCGGGAGCCAGGAAACATCGGCAAAGAGCGCCTGCCTTCCCAATTACTCTCAGTTGTCCGAACTGAGCCTCACCTGCAAAGAATAAACTTCGGAAGAACAGGGAGAGGCTCAGGGTGGAGAGTGCAAGGTCGAGTGGTGAAGCTGATTGGATCAAATAAGATGATTAACAGGGCGGGTAGGATGGGAAGGCAGGAAGAAAGACAAGGAGCAGGGGTCAGATCAGCAAATGGGTTAGAGAAGACCACGAAGCCACTGGGATCGGGCGTAAAACCGGAAGAGATGACAGGAGCAGGAGATGTGGGTGTGGGCATACGTTTATTCTTGTGCACAAATCAAAGAATTGTGGCGCCCAATGCTGCAAAGGAAAAGATCCACTTCCAGGTCAAACAGCAAGCGAGGTGGCGGTCTTCAGGGAAGGAGAGTCCTTACACTTCTGGGATCAGAAATTCGGAACTAAAGCCGAGCAGGAACCAAAGCTGGGCGTCTGCGGGTGGGGTGGGACAAAAGAGACTTGGGCCAGCGTCTCCCTGCCCTTCCCAGGTAGTCAGGATAAGCTGCAGCAGCGGAAGGTCAGATTCACAGGAGGTAGCACAGCCAACTCTAACATCTGGCACACATCCTCACACCTTTGCTCTGACAAATGCACGCATCCTCCTGAGCTCAGACGGTCCCTATGCTCCCTCATAAGTAGTTGGTTTCTTGTTGGCCAACTCTGCTCTCTCCCTCTCGCCCTGCTCCCTGTTTTAGCCTCACTCTCCTCATCCACTCTGTCTCTATTCACCATCCTTCTATCTCTGGCAGTTCAGAAGAAATTTTCTGTTTTACTTGCTGGATACTGACTTGCTCAGCACAGGACCCTGGTTCCTAACTTCCTGAAATCCAAATAAACAGAATTCTTAGTGTTTTGTTTTTTTTTTTTCCAGGTCTAGCTCGTATAATGCAGACCCACGAAAATCGTCAGACTCGTTAACATCACAAGATGCTGTGCACCTGCTACAGACTATATCCTCTCGGGAGTTTTTCTGCAGGTAAACTCTTGTTCCCTGCAGGATTCCCTGGAGAGATATCTGACCCTTCCGGTAGAAGGAAAAGAACTTCCCTCTTACCTTTGCCCCCAAAAGAAGCGCACATGTATGGTTTTCTGATACCTTTCCAGAGCAGATCCTAACCACACACATTTGCAAAAGCATGGGTACACACACACACACACACACACACACACACACACACACACACGCGTATGTGAGTGAGGAATGTGGAGCGTGAAGGGGCTCAAGCACCGTTCAGTCCCTTAGTTGCTTGTAGCAGGGTGAGCTTCTTGCCTGAGATTTCAGTGGTCATTTTACAGTGTGCTTTTTGCCTAACACTCAAGTGCTGCCCACAGAGAGAAACACAAATGCAAAAACAAAAACAAAAACAAAAACAAACAAAAAAAAACCACAACAACCCAGAGACCTGCTGAGATCTCTGGGCAGAGAAATACAGAGAAGATACCAAAACAGAGATAACAGGTTAAAAAGGCAGCAGTAGGGGCCTGGGGAAACTGAAGGGGATCACTATCTCTGGCAGAGGCGACGCGGGGAGAAAAAGCCGGTAGGACAAAGCAGAAGAAACTTCTGGGACTCTAAGTTCCATTACTTGGTCCTGGGACCTATGTTCACTGGTGCCCTGCCCCAGGCCTCCACACGTGAGCCTGCAACCCTGTTCTGGTGGCTGAGAACCGGGGCCTGGCTACTTGGAAACCACAGGAGCTGGGGGTGGCAGCAAAGCTCCTGGAAGACTCCTGAGGATGGTCTGGGCTAGGGACAGGGGGTGAGGCCAGCTCCGCCCTCCAAATTGGTTCGTCCAGTGTGGTCGCCGCTCTGGGGGCAAGCACAGTGGGAGCCAAGGGTTCTGCAGTGGGCTGGGGTGCTGGAGTGGAAAACCTGCGGATCTCCTGGACTCGGGCAGTTTTGGGAGGCCCTGACGTGGGGCCAGGAGTGGAAGGAACCTCGTCAAAACAGAACATGGCGGTTTTAAGCTGGTACGGCTGATGTCGCATGAAATCCAGGGCCTTGATGCCCTGCTTGGGGGTCGCCCGAGGTCCCTGAGATTGGGCCTTATTGGGGAGAGTTCGGGCAGCTTGGGGGAAAAAAGGTGAGAGGAGTGGGTTGTAAGCAATAGGGGGTGGGGCACGGATGTTGGGTGAGTATTTCCACGATGGGGGCAGTGAGGGTGTGGGAGAAGGACTTCTAGGGTGAAGGCCAGGATTAAGGCTAGCGCCAGGTGTAGCTTCCACCACGTACCTGTCGGCACGGCTCTGCCGCTTTGCAAATAGCTCTCCGCCCCTCCCCTGCAGCCTTGGGAGCTCAGGGATCCCAGCTACAGCGGTGGACCCATTCACTAGCCCATCAAGGAGCCCTCGAGAAGAGGGCTTAGGAGCCACAGGGGGCGGAGTCTTAGGAGTTGTTGGGGGTGGGGTTTTGGGAGCCATTGGAGGCGGGCTTTTCGGTGTCACTTGAGACAAGGTCTTGTAACTCCTGCCCCCTAGTGGCTGCATGAAGTTACAGGCTTCAGCTCCAAGGCTTAAAGCGTCCTCCTCCGGACCAGATTCCGCACCACCCGCCCGAGGCTTTTCATCCAGGTTCTGCACCAGCGATAGGAGCTCGGGGTTGGGCGAGTTCTTCGTCTCTTCCTTTCCAGGGCGGAACATCTGCTTCCGAGTGCCCCGGCGCCGGGCCTCCTGCAGGATGCCAGTGCGGGCAGCTGGTACAGAGATGCGCTGCTCCCGAGCGCTGGCAGATTCGGGGGCCGCGGGGCCGGGCGCCTCCGGGCGCACAGAGCTTCTCAGGGGCGCCGACAAGAAGATGGAAGCGGTGGAGGTCATGGCAGCCGCGCTAGGAGGAGCGGGAGACTCTGGGGCGCCTCCTGGGGTCACGGGCCGGCTCGGGGCTGGGATGTACAGGGAGCTGGTAGCGGTTACGGGACCGGAGGAGCGTGGGCTGCTGGGAGCTCCGGAGACTGGCGTGTGGCCGGGCGTGGGGAAGCTGGGTGGAGGGGTGGGTCCCTGCAGAGGGGCTGCGAAGGGGCACGGGGCGGGGCTGGTGGCTCTCAGGCCTTCATTTACCTTCTTAGGGGCTAAGGGCCGGAAAATCACTGAAGTGGTACCTGACCTTTGTCCTTGTAAACCTGGGGTAAAAGGCCTCGCTGACCTGTTGAAGATACTTGGCGCTGGGCTGGGGGCTCCGCCATCCGGGAAGAAGGGGCTAGGGCTGGCTGCAGGGGCCGGCAAAGGGCTGAGTGGGAGCACCGCTGCCTCTGGGGGAGCACTCTGAGCTCGAGGTGGGGACTGCAGCCCCTGCCCATTTAGCACGGCTGCTGGGCCCACCTGAGCCAGCTCCTGGGTACTGGAGGCTGCCCGCTGGCGCTGCTGTTCAAAGAGCTGAACCCCTCGCCCAGAGACCTCGCTCAACTGCCCTCCCAGCCCGGAGCTCTGACTCTCGGTTGTTCCTGAGCCAGCCCTGGCCAGCTCCATGTCCAGATAAGGGCTGTCCCAGTCAGACTGATTGGTAAGGCTGCGGGCGTCCGAGAAAGCCTCTTCGTCCAGCTCCGACTCACTCGTTGGGGGGATGCCGTCCTCCTCCTCTGTTCCTGTTCCAGCGGCAGCCCCGAAACTCACTAGAGTGTACTTCTTGGCTCTCTGCCGCCGTTTCTTAAACATAAGCACCCCCTTAGAGTGGGGGTTGGGGGCCGCTGTCAGCAGGGATGCGATGGTCCGGCATTTGGTTTTGGCCTCCTTCACACTCTTCTCTTGGAGGCTTTCTGCACGTTGCAGTTCTGAGGAGATCAAGAGGTAGATTGGTCAGGGGGCTTCACCGCCTATTCAACCCTGTTCCCCAAAGCTCTTACCTCTGACTTAGAGACAGAGCGGAGGGGGTGGGGGGAGGTGAAGCCAAGGACAGGGACACGGCCACACCACGGCTCTCTGTACCCTCTGTTGCACTTGTATTTTCCAGGAGATGGGCCTTAGTCACACACACGTTCTTCACCTGCCTCCCATTCCTGTCTGGCAGGGGAGTGGGGGAGGTGTTATTCTAAGGCAGGCAGGACCCATCCCAGAGAGAGAAAAGACAAGAAGGAACACTTTTCTCCTCACACCTCTGACCACTATAACCTGATCACACAGACTTTCTTTTTGTGTGTGACAGGGTCTCTCTACATAGCCCTGGCTGTCCTGGAACTCACCATGTAGACCAGGTTGGCCTCGGACTCACAGAGCCCCAGCTGCTGCTGCCTCCCAAGTGCTGGGATTAAAGGTGTGCACCTCCATGCCCGTCCCAGCACACAGATTCTTAGCGTGAAGCTCTTCATTCACAGTTCCGCCCACCAAGTTGTTCACATCATAAACACTCCTAGAAATACCACCCACCCCCACCCCCACCCCCGCCACCATGTTAACGTCAGTCTCCTGAGAACCTGCTATAGGGCACATTTTCTCTGCTGTGCTTTTCGTACTCACAATTGCCCCAGCTTACATACGCATCAGCTCACATACCCTTATGCCCTCATACAACACAGAGTCGTCAAACACAGCTATATACCTACATGTGCCAGGTAGCCCTTCCCAGAGTCTTCCCCGTGGAGACTCTGGTAAAGAGTAGACAGGAGCTGAGAACTGATCTTGGCCTTCCCAACTGCTAGAACACTCCTTTGTGCTTCATGCCTCTACTCCTCACATCCCGGGATAATCTGGGATCCAAGTTGCAGGAAAAGCCAGAGTGCTGCTCTCCGAGGCAACCTCCTACATCTTTAGGGGATTTCAGGATCCCCTTTCTCACAGGTTGGTGCTGGCTCTGGGGTAGACGGCTTTGGGGGCTGTTCCCACTCCTCTTTGCCCAGCCTCCCAAGTAGAGAACTCAAAAGAGCAGCAGCACACCATTGGGTGGGCAGGAGAAGGTCTGTGCTGAAGAACCAGGGCAGGACTTCATACGCCATGTGGGGCCTGAGGAGGCGGGGCCAGGAAGTAGGACAGGCTGCCCTGCTCTCGACCCCGCCCTGGACATGGATACTTTCCGCGATCCCCAGTTCCTCCTGGAAAATTCTTGACATTCCATCTACTTTTCCTCTCAAGATACCAAGCTGCTTTCTAATTAGGGCCTCATTCCTCTGGCCCCCACGTGTATAACACAGAATAGTACTATGCACGAGAGAACAGACATGGGAGTCAGACGTTAGTTCTGGGAGAATTACTTCACCTCAGCCATTTACTTCCCTTGCCTGGAAAAGAGGAGGCTAGTGGCTACCTCTCCATAAGAGAACTCTGAGCACAGTGAGATCAGAAACCGCACTTAACACACTGCTGCCAAGGCCCATGTGAGCGACCACGATGCTCTCCTGGTGTAAGCTTCTCCCGCACAACAACATGGCCTTATTCTTCCGTATCTTCTGGATTTGCACATACATGTCTTCATGTAGTCATAGTGCACTCCCACTTCTCACTCTTTTCCTACGAGCTTACCACAGCTCATGTGGTCATTAACCCCCGGCCATGTGCGCTTAGCATCAACCCGTTCTGAGAAAGGGGTGGTGACCCTTTCCCGAGAGAATGAGGGAGAGGACGAGAGACTATAGCCATTCCCAAAGACCACCCTTCTACACTGTAGACACTGCCCTCCGCTCTCGCCCCCAGCATTCCCTTGAGTGGGAGAGGGTCCTACCTGCATAGAATGGGTCTTGGAGCTCAGGAGCTGGGGCTCTGTCACAGCTGGCTTGGCTGAGGGACTCTTGGATGATGGGCTCGATGGCCTCCATGCCGAGAAAGGCAGTGTTGGCTGGAGCAGGACCAGCTTGAGCCTCCCCCAAGGCCTTTTAAAGCCCCTTTGTCTTGTCCCCAGAGCTGGCAGCTGGATGAGCTCACTGAGCTGTTTTTAGAACCTGTCCCCCTCCCTCCTTGCCCTGTCCCACAACTCCTGGTGTGACAGACACGGGCACCTGCCTCCCCTTCCCCTCGCCCCACCCCCTCTGGACTGTGCGGTCTGCTTGGCTAAAAATAAGCCTGAGCCACTAAATAGAATCTTGCCTGGCATGATGGGAAGGGAGGGGGCGCTAAAATGAGACTGGGGGATAAGGATGGGATCTTGAACATGCATCTGGAATTTCTTTGTAGGAGGATCTGGGACAACCCTTAGGATACCAGACTTTTAGCCTCTATGCAAATTCAAAGACATAAAACCCCTTGGAGGGGGGATCGGAATGGTGGAAGAGAGGAAGACCAGCTAGAGAGAGCGGATCCTGAGATTTCAGAAGTGGCAAAAAAGAAGTCTGTGGGTGCGGACTGGGAGGCCTGGGACAGAGAGAGGCTTCACCGCGTCCCAGTCTGTAGCTCACGTCAAGATAGCAAAAACCTGCTTCAAATGGGCCTGGCCTCTTTTGCCCAGGCCTACATTCTTCCCTGAGCTAAAAAAAAAAAAAAAAAAAAGCCAAAGGTCCTTCCCCAGCTTTCTAGCAGTCTCAGGACTACCCCTAGCATCTTGTTAGTCCCCAGGAATCCCAAAGGAACCCCCAAGTGTCAAAAGTAGCATCCATACTGCGCCTACAATTAACACTGTGAAAAGCCCCTGTAGCCTCAGCCTGCTTTCAGGTACTCTCTCTCTCCCTGGAATCTCCTTTCTCCTCCCTCCATCCTGACATCCAGCCAAACCACCACCACCCAACACTTCAGGTCCCCTCCCCACACCCCTCTATTGTCTGTTCTTCGTTTGAATCGAGCCATTGAGCCATATAAGATAATAGTTATAACTAAGGTAACCAGGGACCCTGAGTAAAAATCAATCTCTCCTTCATGACTCTTTTCAACTTGTCCCCAAGACTGTTTCCAGGGAACATGAGGTAGGTAGGATGTGTGGATGCAAAGGCGCAGATTAGGACTCAGATCCTGATTGAGAACAAAAGGATTCAGGCACTCACTGGCTTGCTTGGCCTTCTGGGTGTAGGTGGTAGTAAGATCTTCTCCCACCGGGTGGGGGACAGGGCCCACCATAGGGATGAGATGAGGACCGGGCCGCAGTGGACCATGGGGTAACAGAAGTGCTTCTGCTGCCGGTGGCTGGAGAGCTGCTCCTTCCTCCCACGATGGGGAGCTCACGCGGCTGTCGCCCTGGCTGAGAGAGCCGGTTTTAGCAGGTGCTGGTTCTGCGGGACTGTCGGACAGGTACACCTCATCAGGTGGGGCTCCTGGGAGGGCGGGCCTTGTGGGACCTCGGCGTCGGGTTCGGCGGGGCTTCTCCTGCGTAGCAGGGCCGTCGACATCACTGTCTGTCTCTCCATAGTAAGCTTCGCTGTCAGGAGGTGAACGGAGGCTCCCAGGCTGAAGAGCCTGGGGAGCAGGAGCACCTGGGGGCTCAGGACTCATGGGAGATAGGGGTGACAGCATCTGAAGCTCCCCTGGAGACGGAGATCTCACAGACCCTTCCTCTGCTACCCTGGATGGAAAAGATGACAGGATTTGAAAGAGGGACTAATGGCTACGGACTAACAGCTCTGGAGGGGATCTGGAGGGGAAGAACGGGGCAAGGCAGTGGAGAGAGGAGACGGGCATACGGTTGGAATAGGTGGGCTAGGAAGAGCGGGATCTGAAGGCTTTGAGAAAGATGTGATAAGGAGACAGGCCAAGGACTGAAGTCCTCACTCCTTCAAATACCTGCTCAACACCCCATCCCTCAGTTACAGATACATTCCACTGGGAGGTATATACAGACATTCTCCAGCAGAGAAAATAACTAGAAACGGGTACTTGTTAGTTACTGAAGCCCTAGAGCAACGAGACAGGCAGGAAGAGACCAAAGCTAGAGAAAAAGGAGGGGAGGACCCCGTACCTCCTCACAGTAAGGACAAGCTGATGCCCCGAGGCATCGATGAGGGTCATGGCACTGGCATGGGAGAAGTTGGTGCAAGAAACTCCATTGATCGCCAAGAGCTGGTCCCTCTCTCGGAGTCCTGCTCTTCCAGCCTGGCTCCGTCTTCGGATCTGAGATGTTGAAGAAGAGATTGTGGATCATGGAGCGCTCCAGTGGGAATGGAATGGAAGAACAAAAAGGACCCATGTAAGAGGGTTTGCTGTTGTTGTAGTATAGGGTAAAGAGGATAGGGAGATGTCTAGAGGCATTCTGGGAGACGGTGACACAGGGCTGTCATTTATTGAGTTCTCACTGCACGGTAGACACTGCGTTGTATGAAATATTGGCACGTAATTCTTAGAATGGTTTACAGACTTGGTGCTGTCATTACCCACATTCCAGCCCAGAAGACTAAGTCTGTGGGGTGAAACCAAAAGGATAATGACTTCATCAGCAAGTCTAGCACCTAATCTTGCCTAGTAGGAAAATGGATATGACTTAGGCAGAGAGGAGCATTGAAGGCAGGGTAGGATAGGGCAGGGCAGGGCAGGGCAGGGCAGGGCAGGGCAGGGCAGAGCTGGGCTGGGTGAGACTGACTGCCTTAGCTTGTCCCACATCCATTAGTCAGAGAAATTAGAACCTTCCCTACATTCCTGGAGTTTGGAGTGGAGAAGCTCACAGGCATAGGGGAGCAAATGCTGGATGACCAGACTCAGCCTCTTCTCCCACAGTGCTGAAGCAGGCCTTTCCTTTTGCACTGCTCCCTGAAACCAGAATTGGCTTTGCTAATAGTCTCCAGGAGCTTGTGGTCCGAGTCTGCTCCCCGATAGCCTGAGCATGCTTACCTGCCCACCACCACCTCTTCTTCACATCCTCCCGCTCTGCCCACCCCCAGGGCCCAGAAGGCCACCACATGGCTCTTCCCAAGTTCCCTTGGGTTCCCTTCTCTATGAAACATCATTCAAGGGGCTCTCCCTTACCTTAGATACCTGTAAAGGTTTCTTCTGTTCAGCCCCTCCCTGAAGCCGGAAGCCCCAGGGGGCTCCCCCTGCTAACGTGACCTTCACCTCCTCCTCAGCACCCATTGCACAGCTTGGCCTGTGGCCCCCAAAGTTTGGACAGTGTCCCTGAGAGAGAGGTTGAGGTGCTGGTACCCCGTCCGGCCTGCCTGTCTGGCTGTCCTGCTCCTGCCGACCCAGGCCTCCCCGCTGCACCACACACCATAGGCAGGCAACTTGGGCCTGGGATCAGTACAGTCCGGTACACATGTCCTGTCAATCACGGCTTGCTTAAAATAGTTGCCGGCTGCACTCTTCTTCCCCCCGCCCCCCAGCTATGTTACCCCTAGAACTAATTATAGTACAAACTTCTGCCCTCCATGTCCTCCCTTCTCCTGCACAAGCCTTTTAGGCAGGACTCAGTATCAGATCGCTGGGTTTTTAACTGAGTATGATCTTTCGGGCAACATGCCTTCCCCCAAAGCCCACAGTAAGAGCAACAACGGCTTCAACCCCAGAGTCGGCAAGAAATGACGGGGTCTGCTCCACAAACTCCTCAGGGCAGAGTGCCGCTTTGCTGTTTGAACTTACTGTTTATTGAACCCGAACCTGTTTGTGCGCTGCACAGCATGCTAGTCATGGAAAGAATGACTTCTGTGAAAGAGTAAGAGTTTAATCCCAGCACTTGGGAGGCAGAAGCAGAAGGATCTCTGTGAGTTCAAGGCCAGCCTGGCCTACAGAGGTAGTTCCAGGATAAGGCTCCAAAAGCTACACAGAGAAACCCTGTCTCAAACAAAACAAAACAAAAAAGAGTTTATGTTAATATTCTGATCTGCTCCTTGAAATCCCACCCCTTGGCACCGCCCTCTGTCCTGATGTAAAAGCCTCATTCTAAGGAAAAACTCCCCTCTTCCTCTGTCTTCTGCTTCTCCTCCCACAAGGTGTGCACCCCGACTTGCTCTCTCTGTCTGTCTGTCTGTCTGTCTGTCTGTCTGTTTCTGTCTCTCTCTGTCCTTTCTCTTCATATCTCTATTACAATAAACTCTCCACGTGGATGCAGCATCTGGGTTGTGAATTACTGGCCACTGCCGCCTGCATGGCATGCATCTGACCAGCACGTTTCCCTGCATGCTCAGGATAACTTCAGGGGTTCCCCCATGCAATAATTCATGACATTGGCACCCAACGTCGCCAGGCAATCCCACTGCTTTCTGCTGCATGCCAGCAGTCTGATAGGCTCTGGGATCCTGTGCCACCTGCCATTCATTTTTCAGGCTGGAGCACCTTCAGGGACTCTTCACTCTACTGGACTGGTAAGAGTCCTCCCTTCCCTTCTGGTCATTTTCCCACAGGTGAGGATTTGTCTCATTTTGCTCGCCAGTACCGTGTGTCTTTTGGGCTCTAAGGCCCTCGGCTCTGTCCCTGTGTGACGGCATACCGAGACACTTGTGCCCACACAGTTCCATGGCCCCATAGCCTTTGTGATGACGGTCCATTGGCTATCTCATGCTGTTATCATTGGCTCGCTCCATGCCGCAGCCTGGGGGGGTGGTCCCTCTCTCCCGCCTGGCTGCACTGTTACTTCTCCATCTTTCTTTCACAAAGTCTATTTCCTATGTGCGAATGGAAATGTATGATTGATACAGCCATCTATATTTCTTTCTGACTGATTTTTAAATGATTCAATTTATCTGTTCCTTATCTGCTCAGTTTATTTTGGGGAAAAAAACAAACAAACCCACACATGGTCAGGCGCCATATTTGATAGGAGTGATCACGTGATCAGGCAGTGCCATCTTAAATAAGGGCAACCACATGGTCTAGCCTCCATCTTGGCTAGGTCAAAACAGTCAGGCCATATGACCTCACCGCCATCTTTCCTAGGGACAGAATGGGTGGGGCGCCTGGCACTCGCGCCGTCCTGTATGGAGGAAGGTTAGGGGATCACCTCCCGCTGCTGCCCATTGTTTCGCCATTGTTCTACAGGCTGAGGAAAAGTCCTCCAGCCGTGGCCTGGCTTTCCCCAGCTGCCTCTCTCAGGCTCCAGCTGCCGTCTGGGCTGGGCAGGAGTCCAGTCCTGCCGCACTCATGTGGGTGGGGCCCGGAGACATATGCGCTCCCCATGGGGCATCAGCAGAACCACATGCAGGTGGTATCATTATATTAAGATTTTAAATTTCAGATTTTAACATTAATACAATTCTGATACACTTTGGGTCACAAGCTCAGGATTTTAAATTTTCCTTGGGTACTCACTACCTGCTTTTCCACAATTTGGATTTCAGTACTGATTGGTAATACTAATTTATCTAAAACTTTGATTTTTTTCTCATTTGTCTATTCCTGAGGATGATATTTCTCTCCCTTCTGGTCTCCCTTTCCCAAACACTAAGACCATGGGCCAAAAGGTTCCAAATAAACTCATAAATTGTTTTTGTTTGTTTTTTGTTTTTCCGAGACTGGGTTTCTCTGTGTAGCTTTGCGCCTTTCCTGGGACTCACTTAGTAGCCCAGGATGGGCTCACAGAGATCTGCCTGGCTCTGCCTCCCGAGTGCTGGGATTAAAGGCGTGCGCCACCACCGCCCAGCTAAATTCATGAATTTTAACTCCCATCTCTAGTCTATATCTCAGCAGGCCGGCAGAAACATCGAAGCAGCAGTGTGGACCACAACCTGCATCGCTTTCCCTGCTACGGATGTCATCAGAGATTCTTGTCTGTGTGATGTGGACCCCAGCCCAGCCAAACATCATTGTTCCCTGCCTCTACAGCCAGGTCAGATGACCACGTGCCTGGGTTCCCTCCTTACCTTTAACTAGCCAGAGTCCTCCTGACCATCTACACCCTGTTTCAGCTTGAAGCAGCTATGGAGAATTCATCGTCCTGTGCTCCCTGTTCCCAGGACAGGCTGGAGGGCTGAGTTAGGGATGGAAACCCTGGCACAGAGTCCACCAAGAGGGTCCTTTTCCTTTTCTCAGAGTTGGGCTGCACCCCGACTCACAAGCCCCTTTCTCCTGTTCTCATTCAGCCTTGGGATCTTTCCCTGTCACTCTTCTTTGTCTTCCCAGGAGACAGCTTAAGAAATTGTTATTTCTATATAAGTCATCCAGGATTATAATCTGGCTGTACTCAAAGATCAGAACTACAGCTACAGGGCCTTAAAAATGGTAACAGATTCAGATATCACTGCCAACAGTTTAAAGAATGTCTCTCCTTACTCAAAGTCTATTCAGGCTTAGGAATGTGAGCCTCCCTGTCCTTGCTAACGTCATTAAGCTGTAACTAACTGGAAAACCTGTATATTCAGATTTAAGTCATATATATGCTCGCAAAGTTATAAATATATCTATCAGATGTTGTTCCCCCAGTCCTCAAACACATGTAGAGATCTGAGAATATGGCATTTAATATAAAAGCTTTTTATAAGCTGGGCGGTGGTGGCACACGCCTTTAATCCCAGCACTCAGGAGGCAGAGGCAGGCAGATCTCTGTGAATTCGAGGCCAGCCTGGTCTACAGAGCAAGATCCAGGACAGGCACCAAAGCTACACAGAGAAACCCTGTCTCAAAAAACCTGTATCTCCTCCAAGAAGACAGATGGCCTCAGAAGAACTTCCACCCAGAAGCTTATGGCAATGCTGGCCATGCAGCACAAAACTGAGATCCTGTCCAGACTGCGAATAAGTAGAACAACAGAGCACCAATTACCCTATACTGCAAAGTCAAGATGGGTCAGTTTCCAAATTTCTACTCCACAGGAAAAAATCTGTCAGATCAACTGAACAAGTGTTGCCTTTGGGGCTATTGTCTCCTGCCCCAGTGACCATGGAGAGATTTGGGATTGCTGCCTAGGTAGCTGGAAAGCTGTCTTACTCCTTAAATTTATCCTTCTCAGATCTGACAATGTTTGATGACTACGGTATCAGTTTAACAGCCCCAGTCCCAAGATTTTATATATATGTTCTTCAATTACAGATATGCCTCATTCACAGACTTCATGGTTCAGGATAGACTGGTTTCAGATATAACCCCAGAGGTTCAAAGTTTTAAAACTGATAAATGCAGCTTTGATAAACTGATAGAACATTGACTACAAAGAGTTCTTAAGAGTCCTCAAATGGATTTTTAACCCTTTTGCCTTGATGTAAATCTATTCCAGCTCTCTTACAGATACCTACAGGCTCCTGGGAAAAGTTCTGCTACTGCATCAAGAAATCTGGTCTGATAAAAACTAACACTCTCCAGAGCCCATTTCTGACCCCACCTATTTTTTGAGCATATTTTGCAGATTCATTGTTCCTGCCCGACCACCATAGAAATAGCAGATGCCATGGCTTCTCTACCCCTGATTTGGAATGCCATTCCTCCCAGGCTCCTGGAACACCACTGCTGCAACCTGCTCTCTCAGCTCCCTCAAGGAACATTCCTGAGATTTTTCCACCATGTGTGACTCCCACTTCACCCATTGTCAGCTTGAAGCATTCTCGGGAATTCAGCGCCTTTGTTCCCCCACTTACTCCCATAACTCACCTCTTTTTATGATCATCAGAATGGAGAAATGTTAATATTCTGACCCGCCCCTTGAAATCCCACCCCTTGGTGCCACCCTGCGTCCTGATGTAAAAACCTCATTCTAAGGAAGAACTCCGCCCCTTTCTCTCTCTCTTCCGTTTCTCTTCCCATGAGGTGTGCACCCTTGACCTCTCTCTCTTTCCTTCTCTTCTCCCCTTTCCCTGTCCTTCCCTTCATCTCTCTATTGTAACAAACTCTTCACGTGGATGCAGCATCTGGGTTGTGAATTCCTGGCTGCCGCTGCCGCCACCGCCATGCCTGCATGGCATGCATCTGCCCAGCATGTTTTCCTGCATCCGCAGGATACCCTCGGAGGTGCCCCCATGCAATAATTCATAGTGGCCAGATCCGAGGACATGACAGAACTAAGCTTCAAACCTTCCTCCAGAGGGGACAGTTAAGGAATATGTATAAGATAAAGACACCTGTTAGCTGGCTCAGCTTTTCCAGCCTGACACCTGACCTGACTTCTATCCCTGGGACCCATATGGCATGGTTGAAAGAAGAAACTGACTCCAAAAGTTGTCCTCTGACCTCCACGTGTACATTGGGCATTTGAAAAACAGCAGCAGGATGGTCTAAGGTTGGGGAAAGGTGATTGGTGGTGATGTGATGGTGGTCATGGGCGCTCTGCACAAAGACAAGTCTTACATTTTCCCCCTGTGATAGGAGGGATTGAATCAGGCTTTGTGCACGGTATGAGAAAGCTGGAGTTCTGAGCTGTATCCCCAGCTTTCATAGTTCTCCGTTGGATACATGCATGTTTGGATCTCTGACATCAAGCTGTCACTCATCAGGCATTTGCAGAGGCCCAAGTGAAGAGTCAGTTTTTTCAATAATGCAGCCTTCAAGTCCCTGAAGGGGAATAACAACTGTTATTATCATGACCCCCATATCAGAGTGTTTTCAATAGCAAGGCTATCGAGAGACTGATCACACACTGCTCAGCTGTGCGATTTCAAAAATTAATGATTTTGG